GACTATGACCTGACTCCCCTCACATTGGGAGGCCTGCCAGCAGTGGGACGTTAAAAAGGTTTGAAAACATATTTATATTTTGTAAATATATTTTCTAAAGTTTATTTTAGCGAATTATGGAGAGACGCTATTAAGTGCAGATCCACAATAGGATTGGACAAACTTTTCATGGGCTAATTAAAAGCTGCAAACGACCGATGGCAATTAAAATGAAAACGTGCCCTCTGCCCAGAGTTGATTGATTAATCAATCTTATATAATCGAATATTATTATTAAGGCACCAATGCTCAGAAGAGTTTTTTGAGCTTTAAATTCATAAAGTTATTTATCGAACACTTATACTTTCAATAAATGAAAAATGTTTGTCAGACTTCTATTTCTTATTTTTTACATTTTTTCTTAAATTATTAGAGTATCTAATAAATGATAAATGATCTAGAATCTAGATTCTAGACAACTCATTCATAACATTTTGCGAGCTTCAATTAAAACTTACTTCAACCTATAAATGCCTTTGAGACGTTTAAAACCTCAGTCTCTCCAGTGGCAATGATTGCTGTAAACTTTACAGCGTAAAGCATTCGGAACGTCGCGTCCGGAACCAAAAATTAAAATAAATTCACGAAAAAATCCGAAAAGATAGTTTTATTTAAAATCCATACGTATTTAATAAAAAGCTGTTTTTTTGACATTACTAACAGACACTTAAATTTTATTTATCTGTATAGATTATTCCTTGTCAAGTATTACAATGTTCTCATGAAAGAATTTCGGTCACATCAGTCAGTCTCATTGAGAATAATCATCTACAGAATATAAAGATACAGTTCACAGATGAGTGTACAAATAAAGGTGCAATCTCTACCCTTACTTTCATTAACGAATTCGCTCCGACACCATTCAAAGTCCAAAGAGATCGACATATATCGACAAACTCTCTTGGTTGCTTACCCATACAAACTTTCACCCCTATTTTCATCCCCTTAAGGGATTATTTCCGGGATAAAACTATCCTATGTCCTTCTCAGGGTCTCAAACTATCTTCTTGTTAAATTTCATCTAAATCAGTCCAGTAGTTTCGGTCAGTCGGTAGTCAGTCTATTCGATACAAACAAATAAACAAAAACACATATATTCCTTCATTCCTCTTTATAATATAAGAATATATCGAAGCAGCATTAATTTTCTCTATTATTTTCCATTATTTTATCATGACTTATACAGTGGGCGTTATACGGGAAGTGTTGGTTCAAATGAAAGTCGTTGCAATCAAAGTAGTATTTCAAATTAACAATAATTACTTTGTACATAGTTAAACAGCACTTCACTACACAGCCATATAGCACTTCACTATTACCACGTATAGACAATACAGAACGCAAGACAGTTTCTACTATTGTTCACTGTGCGACCGACCAAGCGTAACTCAGCCAAACCAGGTCGAGTGTCACGACGTAGACTCTGTCGAGCCCAAGAAGGTGGCGCTCGCGTTCCGATTAGTTGTGATTATGACTCGTCTCCGACAAATAGATAATCTACACGAAATAAATAATCTACATAAAATAATTAACTTCTCAGGACCTCGAATCCAGGGCGTTACGATCTGTAACTAGCAAATTTACAAACGATACAGTTGACGTTTTTAGTAGATAAAAATATTATAAGTATTTCTACATAAAAAATCAGACTATCACATCAGTCAAAGGAAAGGCTATATACGTGTTAAAAGTATTAGAAAAAAAAAACTTCTTTTTTTTCATATTATTTATCAAAGACATTTAGACATTCAGTCGGTACTTTAGGAGGCAAATTGTGCTACTGCCAAAGAATCTGCAAACAAGTTTATGCTTTATTTAAGGTTTTGGCATTTGGCCGACATGCTGATGCAGTGTATTTTTCAAGATATATTTTTTAAATCTTAATTCTTTAAATAAAAGACCAAGTTTTCTTTTGACACTGATTATTTTATACAAAGTAACAAAGAAGAATTACGCTTTCAAGTACATTTCCCGCCATCACAGTCAGTCCCACGGGAAATACCCATAATCTCACTGAGGCATCTATTTAATGACATCCGGTTGGGTTTCTTTTGTTTCCACTTCACATCCTGTGTCTTTAAATATTTTGCTTTATCTGTTATTGAATCTTTGAGTTTGTTTGACATTGACAACAGACAAATACTAAATGTTAAGTGAAGCTTACCACAATAGATTAGTGAAAACCGCATTCAAATTGGTTGAGTCGTTTCTGAGATAACGCGCACAAATGCACAGACAACAATTCTAAAAATCATTGCTTTGGGTTCTATTGCCCCAAAAATAGTTTTTTCTCAAATATCTTCCATTTACAAACAGCGATCATTTACACTTTTATTTGATGACACGTTTGGCTCAGTTTGTAGTGACCCTACTTGCTGTGCTGGCGGTTGCGGGTTCGAGTCCCGCTGGGGACATATATTTGTGTGATAAGCACGAAAATTTGTACTCCAGTTATGGGCGTTTTTATTTATAATATGTATGTATTTAAAGTTTATATATCTGTAGTGTATCAACTATTTGGTATCCATAACACAAGCTTACGTTGGAACTAGATGGTGCTGTGTGTTAATGCCCCAACATATTTAACAGTTTAATGAATAACATGGATCAATTCTGAGTCAAATCCACAGAATTTGAATTCCATACGTTATGAGAAATTGAAGGAATTTAAAAACAACTCATTGTTTTTTCTTAAAATTCGAGTCAAGCGCGAAATATTTTAAAAATCATTTTTTTAAGATGTTTTAATTACAAACTTAACTGCTTAGTTAATGTTTAACCTTTTGCCTTATATAACTTATTTACACGACGCTTTAGCATTTTGGATTAAAAACTTTCTTGAACTTTTAACTAGCTTGCAGTGAGCAGACATAGTGAGTTGCGCTCTTCTTGACTGCAAGGAATATAAAATACACTTAGGTAGTTTTAACAAGTTTAAGAACACGCTAGCTTTCTTTCATGAAATATAAAATATAATGTTTTTAGGTAACTTTCGAAAATAATAATAATAATAACCTAACAAACATAATGAAATTGGGGTTTCAATTGCTATTCCATACTCATATTTGATTTTGATACCTGCATGACCGTTACACCGTGAGGAAATAAAAAAAACAAGAACTAATAAAACTTCAAACTAATTAAATGACTGTGATAGACATATATTTTATCTATACATATAATAATAAAACAGTAGAGGTCGAATGTCTGTACATAGAAAAAAAAGCTAAAAACCGAGTCAGGGGGATGTAAGAGGAGAAATAGAAAAAATCCAGTATTTTTTTCAATTTTTTTGTTTCTCTGTCTGTTTGTCTGTTTGTACAGGCTAATCTCCGAAATCGTTAGACCGATTTAAATGAAATTTTGCATGGTGGTACCTTAGATCCTCGGTCAACATTTTAGATACTTTTCATCCCGGAAAATTAAAGAGTTTCCATGGGATAGTTAAAAACTATAGTAACTTATACAGCTTAGTACACAACAACTTAAGCATCTAATTTAGTAAAATTTGGCATGCTGATACCTTATATTGCCGATCAAACAACAGGTTACGTTTTTTCCCGATAGATAGATGTGTTTGTGCTTTTCTAGAGGCGACCTCGAGCGAAGCATCAAGGGAGGGTGAACCACTAGTCGGTAAATATAACTAAAACAAATATATTTTTAAATCAGTTTGTTTTATAAACTTTTGTGTGAATCTCTAGCAGAACAACTTTTAACGAGAACAGCGTAAAACTAACAGTATCATTTATGCTATTGCATCAGATGCAACTAACATTTGCAAATACTGCCGTTATAAAACAACTTTAATTTTATAATTAATATAATTTCATTTTTTTTATTTTTTTTAAATATAATTTTATTTTTTATTTTTTTAAATATAATTTTATTTTTTCGTTTTGATATTATTTATGAATTCATAGTAAAAAAAGTACTAAAACAGCTTGACGATAGTCCGTCTGTGGCTTTCAATATATATCAAAAACACGAGTTACAATATTTAAAGCATTACACTGAACAAAAAGGATTTTTCATAAACTGTTTATGTCATAAAAATATGTAACAGAACATTTTTAAAATCTTTAATTTATGTTTATCCACATATTATTTTTATTCTTGTATAAACACGTTATTACAACAACAACAAACAATTATTGTCGATACGCATGGCTCAGTTTGTAGTGACCCTACTTGCTGTGCCAGCGGTCGCGAGTACGAGTCCTGCTGGGGCATTCATTTGTGTGATGAGCACAAATGTACGTATTTAAAGTTATATATGTATAATGTATCAACTATCTGGTATCCATAACACAAGCCTCGTAGCTTACCATGGAACTAGATGGTGCTGTGTGTTAATGTCCCAACATATTTATTTTACCTTTATTTATGTAAAAAATATTTTTACTTAAAATATTATTATATTTCTTGATAAAAGCAAACTTTGAACCACATAATCCCTACAATAATGACATACCAGTGGCATACAGCCAGTTTTTTGTTTTAGTAAAATAATTGCTATCGCCCCCGGCATCGGTAATGCTTCTGACGTCCGTGAAGCTCCTATATTTTCCTACAATCTCCATCGTATTTATTTTTGTGCTCGACTAATGTTTTTTACTATACGCTCTTTATTTAGTATTCCTTATTGTTCTACTGTAAAGCATGAGGTCAATGGTATATTTTCTAGGCTAAGATCATAATTTGACTGTAGGTCATGAGGTCGGGGGTTCAGGTCTCGGGTTGGAATAAAAATAGTTAATAGCAGTCCTTTCTATCGTGATATATCAAGTTGCTTTGGTTTAATAGGCTGTTTTAAAAAGCTTTCAGGTTGGAACGTTCATTGCAAAAATAAACCGGAGCTAAGCAAGTTCAGGTCTTTAGTATATAACATTTTTCAAATAAAAATAAATAGCAAAATTGATGTTGTTTTACGTGTTTATCCATTTATTTTTGATTTCCAGAGTATTGTCACCCGTACGAACCATTCAAATGCCCTGTTGATGGCCACTGTATCTCTATACAGTACCTGTGCGACGGCGCGCCGGACTGCGTTGATGGATATGATGAAGATTCGAAGCTTTGCACAGCTGGTAAGATTAGCTTTGAAATTTCTTATCCCTTAAAGACTTTTAACATATAACTTTATTTAATAAAACTTATCTAACTTTCATATTGCACTAGCGACTTACCGTTTTAACGGATAGTATTACAGATTTCTCGGAGATGAGATATTTTCCCGCAGTAAAAAGTATCCTAAAGGTTAATCAGCTATCATCATACCAAATTTCATCAAAATCTGTCAGTGGTTTTCTCGTGATATGTTCCCAGACAGACAGACAAAAATTCTGAAAACTATAGATTCGGCCTCTGTATCGATAATAATGATTATTTCAATAAGATTTTCCAAAAAATATTTAATGTTCAGATTCGACTCAGGCAGAATTTTATTATATGTATATATTTTTATAAAATTGTTATTTAGATATTTTAACATATTCACGCCAGCCACCTCATTGTTCTTATACTATCACCAGTTAAGAAAATGCATCAGTGCGAAAACTGTATCGAAAAGTCACAGTACAATATTGGATATCGAGACTTCTTGAAGCAAATGAAAAATTGAGAACAGAATATAGAGAAAACTTTTGATAAAGATTTTATTCCTCCGATTTTTCCTATGATTAAAGAAAGGCCAATAAGTGATGAACAATTTATTTATTTACTGGGTACGTCTTAACATCTTTTCCCGTGGGAATGAGATAATCTCCCGCAGTAAAAATTGACTTAAAGTACTCTTCAGCCCTCCAACTATCTCTAAACGAAAATAACACGTCAATCCTTAACTCTGTTTCGACGTGAAAGAAGGACAAACAAACAAGCGTTTGTTTATTCCTTCACATTTATAATACCTATTAGTATGAGTATGAATTGAACTACCAACAAAAGTTACAATATTAAAGTACTTAAAGCTAGATAACATAAGATTAAATATGCTAATTGCACTTTAGTTATACATAGGTAACTAGCGGCTCACCCTCGCTTCCCTCGGGTTCACCTCTAGGAAAACATAAACAAACCTATCCCACGGGAACCGTACATTTTTCCGGGATAGAAAGTAACGTGTTATTCCAGATTAAAACCTATCTCTGTGCCAAATTTCAACCAGATCCGTTCAGACGTTCTGGCGTGAAAGAGTAACAAACATCCATACATACTCACAAACTTTCACATTTATAAAATTAAAATAATACGGAAATACGGATTACATCTTGCTGCTTTTACAGTCTATCACATCAATAGGGGTATACAGTAATTCGATATTGATTAACCTCTATATCCTTAATACTTATATATCCTTAACTAACCTAAGCCTCGGTGGTGTAGTGGCTAGCATGTACGGCTGCACACCCGGAGGTCCTGGATTCGAGTCCCGGGTCGGGCCAAGTTTAGTTATTGAGTCTTCCTGTATAGTAAGTCTCAGTAACAGCCCGGAGTTGGGAAGTTGGCGGTGTTTCACTCCCGTGCCTCGGAGAGCACGTAAAGCCGTCGGTCCTGCGCCGACACTCTCACCGGTCGTGTCGAGTGGTCGTCCCACCGGAGTATGAGAGTGATAGGAATAGAGAGTGCACTTGTGTCTGCTTGAGCACTATAATATCTCCTGCGCAGTTGGCTAATCTCATTGAGATTGGCCGCCGTTGCCAGAATCGGCTAGGAGAACATCATCATCATCACATCATCATTGATTAACTACATTAAGAACATATCAATTTTAATATATATATCTAATATCTTTTTTTTAATAATTAAATACTGAATTAAACATAATTAAACGAGTAGGTACTACAAGCATAATCTTGAACATGGAATTTTAACAACAAAAAATCTCTATCATCAACGGTCGCTCTTACTAACAGAATTTTAACTGTCTCGGTGAGTAAGCTTATGGCAGGGCTTAATTGAAAGCTCATAACAAAGTACTAAAGCCGTGCAACTTCATCAGTAGCACGTACTTGGTTAGTGATGCAACTAAGTGCTTGTGGACATATTATCTAGCTATCTATATACACTGGACTCACTCGGTTACATTTTTAGAATTTAAAACATCCCTAAACATATTCTCATACTAATTTTGTTACTTTCTTAACTGATAAAGGTTTCATTGTTAACTTAGCAAAAAAACTCATTACTTTTCAAAGAAACCTTGCTATTCTTTTGACCTCATTGGGTATTGAATTTCAAAAGCTTCTTTTTTTCCTCATGTCATATTCATATGATTTTTTCCTCATGTCATATTCATATGTATGGGGTGTTAACAATTTCAGCCTTAACTAGAACGAAAAAATACACTTACATTTCTTAATTTTACTTACATTTCTTTAAAATTCATATGGATTACATATAATCATGACAGAACACGCCATTTCGTTCTAGTACGGCACTTTCAACAATACTTTACTAATAAATAAATAAGTCAGGACATTAACACACAGTACCATCTAGTTCCATGGTAAGCTACGAGGCTTGTGTTGTGGATACCAGATAGTTGATACACTACACATATATAACTTTAAATACATATATATTATAAATATAAACACCCATGATTGGAGTATAAGCATTCGTGCTCATCACACAAATGAATGCCCCCAGCGGGACTCGAACCCGCGACCGCTGGCACACCAAGTAGGGTCACTACAAACTGAGCCAAACGTGTCGTCATATAGGTATAATAAAGAAATGAAAATCGAACCTCCGGCCTCAAAACATCTAACCTTGGTTGGTAATCTTCAACATCCATTTTTATTCTGTTTTCCTTGATCTTAAACGATCCTTACACTCACCCTATTTTCGTTGTAATCCGGCATTTAAGTAACTTTCCTCCATTATATACAGTATATCTTCTAGGATTATATGTAACTCACGAGTTTCGTGAGAATACTAATACTCGTTATAACAATAGCCTTTTCCTTGCTTTTGATTTATAGCAACTTTTAATCTATTCTAATATTATAAGAGGCAGTTTGTTTGTTTGTTTGTTTGAACTCGCTAATCTCAGGAAGTACAAATCCGATTTGAAAAATTCTTTTTGCATTAAATAGCCCGTTTATTGAGGAAAGCTATATAGGCTATATATCAACATGCTACCAAGGGAGCGGAGCAGTAATCATAAATGTCAAGAAATCGGGCAGACTTCCATATATTATTGTAAAACTATATATTGTATTATAAAAATACATAACGACGCAAAAGAGTTTTTTTTTGTAGATTGAACGCGGGCGAAGCCGCGGGTTTTGCTAGTACTATCGTATTACAGTATTCTGTTAACGACTGGTTTAGTTTGATTGTCATAGCAGATTGGTTTAAATGAAATCCTATCTGATAAAAATTACCTCCTCAAATGCTTTTTTAAAATAATTTACTGTCATTCATTATAATTTTTTTTAATGAACTAAATGAATCTTTCTAAAGCGACGACTTAATAGCTTGGTCATTATCTCTGCTTTAAAAAATAACAAATATAGCGATAAATAGCATTTAACAGTATCGTCTAGTTGGCACGATTTTTCCAACCGTTGATTTTCTACAATAGATATAGCTAATAGCAACTTGGTATGACATATTCAGACTATTTTTAAGCTATATAAAAACACAGAAAGCCCAAAACAAAGAAATAAATAATTAAATTTATTCCTTTTACTTAAATCTTGTAAGAACTCCAAAAAAAATTGGGCGATACTTTTCTTTTATATGAAAATTTGTCGAACATTTAAAGTGCCTACGCCTCCATATTTGATAAAGCCACCGACCCTCGTCACCTGTAAACTCTTAAGCAAACTCGGTGATAAAATTACTATATTAGGGATAAAACCAATCTTTTATTACGGTGTAAAATAAAAATAGCTGGTACAACAAGTATATGGTTTCTACTGTAGATTTAAATTGATTTAGTATTGAGGGAACTTAGCACCTAATAATACTCTTTAAAATCTTGGACGAATTTTAAAGCGATCGTATAAAATTAATTTATAATTTTAAATTCATACTAATATTAGAAATGTGAAAGTGTGTTTGTTTGTTTGTCCTTCTTTCACGTCGAAACGGAGTGACAGATTGGCGTGATTTTTTGTGTGGAGATAGTTGGAGGGACTCCAGAGTGTGGGCTTACATAGGCTACTTTTTCTTTCTTTTTGATTATCTAATGCCCACGGGAAAATACGTTATAATACAATTCAAAAAAAAATTAATATCAGATACTTGAAACTTGGTATTAAAGCTCTTCAATAAAAAATGTTTTAGCATTTTTCAGAATAAAATAGGGGATGAAAGTTTGTATGAAAATACCTTTTTAGAGATTTTTGGATTTTTATGTTGTTTTAGCGCGAGCGAAGCCGCGGGTTCTGCTAGTATTTTATACTTTAAGAATGGGTTGATTTGAGAAAATTTTATAGTAACTAGTAACACCAGTTAGGTTTTTATTTTGGGCTTTTTTCTTTAAATCTTTTTCTTTAATAGATTGAAAACTAAGAAAAGAGAAAGCTAAGAATTCCATTTCACACGGGAGTTCCTGACCTTTAATTTATAAAAGCAATACATAGATTTACAGGAAAATGTTTATTTTGAACACTTTGAATGACTTTTTTAAAAATATTTCCAGGTTTCTGACGACCACAATTTCTTTACAATACCTTTTGGCACTGTTAAGAAGGGATTTTGATGAAATTTGGTATGGTGATAGCTGGTTATTCGGGTCAACATATAGGATACTTTTTACCGCGGGAAAATGTCTCATTTCTGAGAAAAAATACAAAAACTGCATTGTAAGAGAATACTAATATGTAAAACCTAAGAACTTGGTTTTTGGTCATCTAAACGCGGGCGGAGCCGCGGGCAATGCTAGTAATAAATATTGACAAAAAAGTGACTACATACATAGGTTGAAGTTAATTCTGCTTTTTGCCGGTAGAGTACTTGAATAAAGAAAATGCGTGCTTAAGATTGAAAAACTGCTATTAAAATGAATTGAATATACATTTTCAGTACATATTTATGAATAGTTTAGTAAATTCGATAAAATAACAGATATCTTATA